AATTCAGAGATGGAGAGGATATTCAATGAGAAAAAAAATAATGATGGAAGATAAATTAATTAAAAAAAAAGTAAAATAAATGGATAACAATTTTTTAATTTGGTGGTGTGTTAGATGATGCCCGGTTCTCTTCACTCACATTATTACACTCGTTTACGTGCTCGCATGGTCAGATGAGTGCCAAAATTGCTTCTCTTGATGTAACGTGAGGGTCACAACCTATTCTATTTATATAAAGTTGTGATATTATGTTCCATTTAAACTAGTCATCATCCTCCACAACTTACTTAGAATAAAGTATTTTTATTTGTTTACAAAAAAAAATTAAAATAAATTAGTAAAGTTTTTTATTTTATTATTATTATTTAGACAAAATAGTTGAGAAATAGCCTGTTTTATATATGGATACGACATTAAAAAAAAAAAACAAAAAAAAAACCCTATTCCCTCTATCGATCATGCAAGGAAGAGAAAGGTGAAGCAAGCGAAGAGTCCGACCGTGAATGTTGAAGAAACCGGACCAATGTCGAAGCAAAGGGACCGGCGTCGAAGGATGTCGAGTACCCATAGCCGGCGGTACCTTGCGCTGTCGGAGACCAAAATCATGGTCGCAGCAAGAAGCCGAAGCCGGTCGGACGAAAACCCCTCGTCGTCGTTCGAACCCAAAGCTGTCTGAGATGGAATGTCAAGCCAGAGAAGCAACCTGTCGTTCGAGCCGCAGAGGGTGCGACGACGAACAGCTGAATAACGTCGACAGTCGAGGGAAAGCGAGAGAGGGTGTCGATTTGCGGCTGAAATGAAAAAGAATAAACCAATGGGCAAATAGGTAAATTCTAATCCAGCGGAATTGAATACAACTATAAGCTCGGAAATAATTCAGCTGTAGATCGAGTTCACATCCGTTGTCCCGGATTTTTTTTTTTTTCCCATAATTTTGATGACCAAAAAACTGTTCTTGCGCTCACAAACTCAGTCCCAAACTCAGGTTAGGAGTTCATAGTGTTCTAATTCTCCGTCGCCGTCGGTTCCCATTCTACGTAATTCACTTCAATTCATCCACTTCAATCTCAATCTCAATCTCAACCCGAACTTCTGCGCACTCCGCCGGCGATTCGTCTTCTTCCCGCCAGATTTGAGCTCCAACGCCACATTACTCGGCGCCTCTACTCTCCTCTGTTCCCGATTTCTTTTTCTACATTATTCTTGTCGGTGTCTTTCTGAGTGTATCCAAGGGTTTTCGGTCGGTTTGCGAACTGGTTATGGACTTCGAGCCCTATGATAGTAGCGGTAAGTAAGTTAACTCTAATCATGCTTTCGTTTCAATTATTAGGGTTTTCAAGTGTTCTATTTGGGAATTTTACTCTGTTGGCCTTCCAATCTTGCTTTGTGAGGCTTGGAGACCTTTTACACTTGTTTTTGAGGGAATTCTTTTATCCATGAGCCGTGATGAGCTGGTTAAGAACATACCATGTATAAAAATTGTTGTAATTGTTTGAATGATTGGCTGTTTGGTTTTTGTGCATTTAAAAGTATCTGTGAAGGAACTAGTTTACAGTTTTATTGTCCTGTTTGGAACACAATGTGTAATATTATCAATGCAGATATTGTCCTCTTTAAGCTTTCCTTTTCGGACTTCTCCTCAAGATTTTTAAAACGCGTCTGCTAGAGGGAGGTTTTGGCTACTACTAATGTTACGAAGGGGGTGGATAGAACGAAACATTCTTTATAAGGGTGTGGAAACCTCTCCCTAATAGACGCGTTTTAAAAACCTTGAGGGGAAGTCTGAAAGGGAAAGCCCAAAGAGGACAATATCTGCTAGCGGTGTGCTTGGGTCATTACACAATGACTACCTTGAATTCAGCTGTATAATTTGTTACACCATCCATTTCAGGAACCGATGACGATCTCCCTCCATCACACCAGAATAGAATTGCAAGAGGAGGTGGCCGTGTTTCAGGGAATGGAAGATCAGGCATGGGTTCTGTCCCATATCACAGGATGTATGGTGAAACTGACATGGAAGCTCAAATTCATCAACTTGAGAAGGAAGCTTACAGTTCTGTTCTTCGAGCCTTTAAAGCTCAAGCTGATGCCATTACTTGGGTACTTTTGTTTATATTTCAAGTATCTAATAGTCGTAAATTTATTTGATCAGGCGTTAACGATTGCCTCACGGAATGTATTTTCTTTAGGAGAAAGAAAGTTTGATCACAGAACTCCGGAAAGAGTTAAGATTATCAAATGAAGAGCATAGAGAGCTTCTAGGACAAGTTAACGCGGATGACATGATTCGAACTATAAGGTTCGATAACACGAAAAATAAAAATATTAACCAATGCTTTAAGAGGTTGTAGTTTTGAGGGCTCTTTTTAATATTGATGGATACCTTTGGGTCATGTTATAGGGAGTGGAGACAGGCAGGTGGGCATCAGCCTGGTAAGCTCAGTACCAGCCAAGCTATTCATGATCCGATACCCAGCCCTACCGTCTCTGCATCGCGCAAGAAACAGAAACTAACCCATTTGGTTCCTCCACAGTCGTTTACTGGTCCATCTCCATCATTCCACCAACAACCTATTGCTTCTCCTCATCAGCCATCGTCGTCCGTTGCAAAACGAGGAGCTATCCCTACCACCAAGGGCAAAAAACAAAAATCTGTAGCTAAACAGTACCAAACTTCAGTTCCTAGTGGCAGGAGTCAAGTTGCTAATAGGGTTTCTTCTGGAGCCATTGAGGCAGCTGAAGGAGCATCATTGAATCCATTTATTGGGAGGAAAGTAAGAACTAGATGGCCGGATGATAATAACTTTTATGAAGCTGTTATAACTGATTACAATGCTGCTGAGGTAAATTATCTTTTTTTAATGGTATACTAATTTGTATTTCAGTAAGGAATGTTGCTGAAAGTACATCTATGTCTACTCAGGGACGACACGCTTTGGTTTATGATATTGGCTCTGCAAATGAGACGTGGGAGTGGGTTAATCTCTTAGAGGTATATCTATCTAGCACTTGTTCTTTGAACTCGAGATACTTGCATCCTCACTTTTATGGGTTTTCCATATCTGAAATCATGTGAAAATCATATAGGCACATAATTCATGTTTTGAAATGTTTGTTAAGAACTTGGTTGGGGATGGATGATGGGTTGTTGTAGCCCAAACCCACCGCTAGCAGATATTGTCCTCTTTGAGCTTTTCCTTTCGGGCTTCCCCTCAAGGTTTTAAAACGCGTCTACTAAAGAGAGGTTTCCACACCCTTATAAGGAATGTTTCGTTTCCCTCTCCAACCGATGTGGGATCTCACAATCCACCCCCTTGGGGTCCAGCATCCTCATTGGTACATCGCTCAGTGTCTGGATCTGATCCCATTTGTAACAGTCCAAACCCACTGCTAGTTGATATTGTCCTCTTTAAGTTTTTCCTTTCAGGCTTTCCCTTAAGGTTTTAAAACGCGTCTGCTAGGGAGAGGTTTCCACACCTTTATAAGGAATGTTTCGTTCCCCTCTCCAACCGACGTGGGATCTCATGTGGGTTTTGTATCCTTTTTCTAGGGGATTACTGGATTGGCAATGATTCCTTCCGTAACTTATTTCTTTGCCTGTATGATTTCTACATGGAAAGATACATTTGTTAAATTTCACGGGATATTCCGCTATGTTATGTAATCGAATTCAGCACTACCTATTCGAAATTTCACTGGATTCGAAGATCTGAGTTCTTAGAAAGATCTGAGTTCTTAGAAATGGATTACTATCATCGCTTGTGCTTATACCTAGAATTGGCCGCGTAGATATCTCCGGAGGACATCCAATGGGTTGATGAGGATCCAGGAATCCCACATAGAGGTGGTTATGGTGGATCAGGTCACGGAATGAACCGTTCGGTAGGTCGTGATGGCTCTGGTGCAGGTAGAGGTAGAGGAGTCGCCAAGTCTCAGTCGAGAAAAGATCTTTTGCCATCCCAAAATGGCATCGGCAAGAAGACATCCGACGATATACGGATACTCCACACACAAACTCTAATTAGAGAGGTACAAGCACAAGGGATTTGTTCTTTTGGCCATTATGAATTTGTTGGCTTTCTAGCATCCATATATGATCATTTTTTACTTTTTTGTTTAGTTGGAGAGAGTCTTTGGTTCAAAACATCCAGATCCAGTTGAAATTGAAATGGCAAAGAAAGTTCTCAATGTAAGAAGCATTTGATTCAGCTGGCAGTCTTTCATTTTATTCTCTTCACCTTTTAATTCATACACTAACATACTCTGTCCAGGGCCACGAACAATCACTTATCGATGCCATTAATAAGCTCGGAGATATTTCTGATGTCGGAAGCGGTAAGTTTCATTTCAGTCTTAACTATGCTTCTCGTTTACTCTTTTCGCATGCTTACGAACATCGTATCGTACGGACCACCTTAGAACAATCCTAATGCCAGCTGAATGATAACTCTAAATCCCTGGATGTGTCTGGTTTGGTTGCTTTTGTAACAGACGAAGGTGGTCACCGGTTCTCGCACGAGCAATCCATGGACCGGGAATAACGATAATCACTTCGAAACGGAGGAGGTTCACTCTGCAAGAGCATCCTGTTGATAGAAAAGGTGATTTGGATGTGGTAAGCAAGTTTTGAGTTAATTGGGGAGTGACACACCTAAACTCTCAAGCTCCTTTTTCCCTGTAAAATACCAGGATGGGGTTGTTTGTTTTCTTCTAATTCTCCCATTTTTGGTAAAGGTAAGGATTAAGATAGGAAAGCTGATGGGGCCCATACACAGACGTCATCTGAGTTGGAAGAAGACATTAAAATGAATACCCAATGATCATTCTCCACGTGTGCATTAGAGCTTTTTCTCATCTCCCACAGACACCACATAGCCTCCTCTTGTACTTGGAACAAAATGGATTTGCCTTATAAAAAGATCCTAATTAGATTTAACGTTCTGGTTGACTAGTTTTAGTGGGGGAAACCAAAGAAAATAGTGCCCAACTTTTTTTTGCGTGTTACAAATTAGAAGTAAAATTAATTAAATGCAATACAGATCAATACACTGCAGACTGAGTCGTCCTAGTTCTAGTCCTAATACTACTAGTATACACAAACAATCTAAGCTGATCACCTTCTAGCCCTTTTCTTTGGCCGCTTTAGAGGTTCTTTTCCAACCCCTTCTCTGGCTCTTTTTATTGGAGTGGGATCAGCCTCGGCTGCCTTCTTAGGTGGTCGCCCGACGCTGCGCTTAGAAGGGCTGCTGCCATCCTCCTTCAGACGCTTCTTGTCGTTGCTTTGTCTGATTGCCAACACTCTCTCCTTGCCTTTTTCACTTTTGCTGCCACTGCCCTTCTTTTGTTCTGTTGCAGCATTAACAACACTACTGCTGCTTCCACCTCTGCCATTTCTCTTTGTTGTAGTCTCTGCAGGTGAGTTCTGCTTGATTCTCTTCAAGAAATCTGCTGCACTTCGCTTCTTCTCCAGTGTTGCTGTATCCGATTTCTTCTTGTCTGGGATTGGGATTGGGATTGGGATTGGTGTCTCTGTTTCATTGCCCGAACTGGGTTTCCATCCAGAGTTCGTGTTCTGTTTCTTGATGGTAGGGCCGCTAGAGTTTGTGGCACTGTCATTGCTCCTTCTCATGCTTCTTGCTCCAGTTATGGGTTTCTCTTTAACCTTGCTATCTTTTGTAGTGCCCTGGTCTTCAACAGGGTTTGTTGAAGCAATTTTAATACTTGATTTCAGATCAACAGCTAACTTCTCATCATCATTGCTCCGTTCACCTTTTTCACCAAGACCCGTCGTCGATGAAAGCTTGGATGAAATTTTGCTTCGTTTCCGACAAACTATTATAGGAACAGAGGACTTCTGCTTTGCAAGCAAAGACTGTGATCCTTCGAGATCGGGACCCTTGGATTGAGAAGGAATCGTTGGGGACGAATCCACTACTTCAGGTGAAGGGTCAATCTGAGCAACCTGCAGAGCCTTCTTCATTTCAATAGAGACTAGAAGACGGAGTTCATGAGCAGCTACCGACTCCCTTGAGGATTTGGGGAAGAAGGTAACCACGTTGTTGAAAAGAAGCAAGAGGTCTCTGTAAAATGCATGGGTGGAGGAATAAGAGCCAGAATTGATCTTGGCTTGAACTGATTCCAAGTCCAAATGCTGCCGCACCATGCCCTTGTACTCTTCCGTTTCCTGCAAGAAAAAACATGGAGTTACCTACACGGGTCGTTTTGTGAAAATTACATCATACAAAGCCATAAAAACAGGCGAAATCCTGACCAGCACTTGATTGAAATACCACAGCTTTCCTCCTAACCTACTTTTCTCTTTCTTAGCCTAGAACATTAGCACAGAAGATCTCATACAAAAACAAATTTACTAAAAATGCTAACCATTTTTCAAGGGCAACACCCAAATATCCAGGCCTGTCGTGTTCCCTAAAGACCCTATGATCTTTATTGAAATAAGGTTTAAAAAAATGGCAAAAAGATGGTGGATGACTCAGCTTGGGAGGGGGCCTAATGGGAGTTGGGTGGGGAAACAAGGGCCTATCAGCCATGGGCATGGCCCAAGTTATTTCAATATTAATAGCCTAGAAAAGCACATCCAATACACCGGGACAAAATACTATCTCTTCATGACCCCTCGAATTCGGTGTTCTTTTCATTCTCTTTTTTTATTTTCATCAAAATGAAAAAAAGATAACAAAATAATGCACAAGTTAAACTTTCGCATTCAAAATAAATTCAGCCGAATCTTTAATCAATTTATATCGAATAATAAATTAATTAAGAGGAAAAAAAAAAATCATGAATTGGGTAGAAATGATCTTAGTATTGAACAAAACTACTATATTTTTTATTTGCAAAAATTCCAAAAAAAAAAAAAAGTAGAAATGAAAAGCAACATAGATCGAAGCTATTAAGCGAATGGTCCCCCACTTCCTCTTTTTTTCTTTTCTTTTTTTATTAATGTTCAATTGGAAATGGTCCAAATTTATTGGTCGTACAGCTATTAATAGCATTGGTTCACATCAAATCAATTTTTTGTGTTATAAATAATATTCATAAAAAATAATTACTAAGCCTAAAACATAATTTAACCTTCAATTGTAGTATTAATAATACAAATATTTTGAATAGTTTAATTTACCCATTTTAGTGATTCCCATCAACTCTTATGTGTATTTTGTTTTCGTTTAATATTTTATATTGGAATTATGTTGTTATGGTTATTTTAAGCCTAATTTCTTTTTTAAAATAAAAAAGGATTTAAAACATAATTATTTTACTAAAAGGAAGAGAGAGACAGAGAAAAACGGAGAAATATTACCTGACTTTGGAGACGGGATTCGAACAAGGAGCTGTGTTTGTGCGCTCGTATCATCTGCAAAACCTCGTCGAACGGCCGTGACTTGACGGCGGGTGTCCGACGAGGTTCATTGCCGCTACTACCGCCGGAGATCTCCTTCTTGAGGAGTCTCTTCCTCTTCATCCTCCCCGTCAAGCTCGCCGAGCTCTGTACTTCGCTACTCTCCCTTGTCGCCGTCTCTCCGCCGTTTGACTGAGCCTCTGAGTCCGCTAACTCGAACGAGTTGTCGACTCGCTGCGTTTCCTTCTTTTTTGTCTCCGATATGTCGCAAGTCGAGTTCTTAACCACAGTGTCCGTACTTCCGTCATCCGATTGTGGATCGGCTGGTTCTGCGGCTCTTCGGTTTTGTTCTGGTCTGTATGAACCGGCCAATTCCGGTTTGGTTTCGGATTTATCGTTTTCGGCGGTGCTTTTACGGTTACCGCTTTTGGAACCGGTGGAATTGGATTGGTTTACAGAGAAATCCTCCCGGTCAGAATCTTCGCCGGGAACTGCCGGGGGCTTCGCGACTGTTCCGTTTATTCCGGACCGGTGGTCTGGTTCGACGAAGAGCTTTTTGTCGTTTTCTGATCGACGCTCTCTGGACTCCATTTTTAGATCTGGTTTTCCAGTGCTGGCCTCTCTATCGCTCATGCCTTGTTCTCGCTCCTCCTCCAATTTCTTGACCTTCAACTGCAACGAGCTGCCGAAAATCTCAATACGATGAACTCAGATCTGAAAATTTTAAGATAAAAATAACGTTTCAAAAAAAAAAAAAAGCGAACAAAGCGAAACAAAAACGATAGAGATTTACTTGATTGAAACATCATAGCGCTGGACCTCTCGTCGGAGTTCGGCAACGCGGAGTTTCCTCAACTCATCGACCCAAGGTACACTGGTATCGACCTTATCGGCAATTCCAGCGCCGTTTTGGCAGGAAGTAAACCGTCGCTTAAGGTCAAGGAATTTGAGTTCACAGTTACGCGCAGTGGTTAGAATATGAGGGAGAGAAGAACGAGACTGAACCTCGATGGAAACAGAATTCCAATCCTTAAATCCATGGCGCTTGACTGCGCAAGCCAGTAAAAGCTCCTCCCAAGTCCCCCATGAGGCGGTGCCGTGTTCACTCTCCCTGTCTTTATCATCCGCCATTAGATTACAACAAAAACAGCATAGAGAATCCCGATTAGACGGTCGTCTTCCACATCCCTCCAATTCTCTTCTCCCTGTTCTAATTAATCAAAAATGAGAGAGAAAGAGAAGCAAAAGGCGAGCGTTGCTCCATTAGAGAGTTTGTTATTAGGGTTTGAGCGTCGTAGTGCTCTCCTCTGCGGCGTTGGAAGGGAAAAAACAAAAGGACACAAAAATCCGAAAACTCGTTTTAAAAACAATTAATCGGGTTTCCCCTTTCCCTTTTGTTTTTATTTTGAATATTGAGAGAAACGATGCAAAATGAAATGGTTTGGTTTGGTTCGGTTTGGTTTTTATACGCAAGTTATTATTCAATTTGGTTCGCGAATATGTGTGTTATTACGTGAATACCCTCCTTATTTTCACGAAATTACGCCCTTTGTCCTCCATTCAAATTATCAAATATATATGGCAATAGCGGCGTTCCCCATTTCACGATTTTCCGCTTGTGTCGTTTCCTCTCTTTTACCTTTAATTTATTGCATGCAAAAACTCTTTTCTCCCGCGTAAAAAAATAATAATAATTGGTTTTTTAATTATTAAATTAATAAAAATATTCACAAATTTTATATTTTATTTCAAAAAAAAGAAAAAAAAAGCTTTTGACTTTTCTTTTTAATGCTTTAAAAAAATCTCAAAATACTTTTATTAATAATATTCTTAAAACTTTAAAAAGTTTTATTAAAACTTTCGCCTTTTTAAAATATGAAATTATATTAGTATTTTTTATCTTTGTAAAAAAACGCTTAAATTTTTTTTTTTAACATCAATAAATTAACGTTAATCGTACATTGACATTTCAAGATTATATCTATATTATTTTTAAAAATTTATAAGTAGTTTTAAAATACTGTATTATTAATAAAAGTATTTTAGAATTTTTTAATTTAAAGATATTAATGAAATTTTTGAATTTTTTTTTTTAAACCAGTATTTTTTAAACCTCTTAAAATTAAAAGAGTATTTTTTAAATGGTTACTATAGTTAAAATTAATATAATAAAAATAAAATAGTTAACACTAATTTATTTAAAATTAAATAAGGTAATAAAATGGTAAAAAATAATTTATTTTTTAAAAATGTGAACAATATTTTACCGACAACAATAAATACATTTATTTAATTTTCAGATATTATTTGTCCAAATATTATTTTTTTTTCGGACATTATAGATAAAACCTTGAACAATTCTCGCTTTGCCTAAAAAAAATCGTCACTTCAATTTTTATTCATTTTATTATTATTATTTTAGACATTTTATTATTGTCATCTCATAACTTTGCACATGAGTAGCTTTATTATAAATTTTATCTTACTTAAAATAAGTAATAATAATAATTAAATAAATAAAACTCTTAATGGTATTGTTTAGGACAAATATATTTAAATTTAATAAAGAAAATTTAAATTTTAAAAATATAGATGGACAATTAAAATATATCCCAAAACATGCCGACACAAATTGACCCATTTTTTAAAAATCTTCATATATATATATATATTTAATTGTTACGTTTATTTAATTTTGGTTCGACATAAAAAGTCAATTTAGTTAGTTCATAATTACAAATTAATTAATAAAATTAGGTGTTAGGTTTTTTCTTTTTTTATTTATTTATTTTATTTTTTGTTTTCGCTTATTCATACAAAAATGAACAAAACTCATATTTATTTTTATTTTTATTATTTTAGCAGAGTTGTGTTTATTAAAAAGGCTCAGGCTCAAAAGCAAAAGCCCATTTGAGGCCCAAAACCAATAATTTTACTCGTGGGCTATCCAACCCGGTACAATGTCTTGTTCATCTAAAATAGCAGACAACACGACACCGTATTGTCATCCTAATTCATGGGCCGCTCTTAAACTTTTCCTATAACTTGGGCCATCTCATTGGGCTTTTAATTCAACTGAAATTGGGCTTTTCATTGAGCCTTTTTATTGGGCTATTAAAAAAAACATTAAAAGACTAAAGTAGAGTTCTTATATCAAAGTTTTATTAATTTATTTATTTTTGACGAAGGTTGACTCTTTCTCAACGACTAATGACCTAACAATTGAATAATAAATATATTAATTATTAAATTGAAGGCATTTTTAAAAACAAATTTACCCCACTAATGTTTTTTACAATATTTAGTCAATTCTTGCCGTAATTGACCCTCTAACCATATAAAATCATACTTACCCCAACCCCCCACTCTCCAAAAGTAAAAAAATAATAAAAATTACGCGTAAAATTTAAATTAAATGTGTAAATTTATATAATTATAGTATTAATAAATAAATTAGCACTAGTTTATATAATTTAATTTAATAATATATGTTGGTTGGGTTTTCAAGGGAGCATAGTTCATGCGCAAGGTCGACTTTTGGTGCAAGTCTTCGGCCTTATCCAAACTCCCAAAAGCCAAATGAAATTGCTTTTCTTCTCTTATGTCCAAACCTTAAATCCAACATTATGTTGCTAATCAAATGTCTTAATCTTGATTTAATTTTATTATTATTATTATTATTATTATTATTTTATCCTCGTTCTCCCTGTGAAATTTCTTGGAAAGGAACGAGATTTTCATGATTATTACTTGCGATACAAATAGTAATTATTACGAAGCCCCCTGTTAGCAGATCTTGTTCTCTCTGGATTTTTAATGTTAAACGTAGAATATATCATATTTGTATATAGTAAGATAAGTTAGTGATTTACTAGTTTGTTACCAAATCTATGATTTAGAATGTAATCTTCATTATACACATCTATAAATACATGAGGTCGTGACCCTAGGTCATTGTGCCATTCAACGTAACATGGTATCAGAGTCATGTCCTAAACTTAGTCGTGTCAATAAATTGGTAAATCCTCAAACATCGAACAAAGGACTCCAAAACAAAAAAGAAGTCAAACCTCCTCGAAGGCAGTAAAAAATGACTAGGACTCCAAAGGAGTTGAGCCTCGATTAAGGGGAGGTGCACTTTGTTCGAGGGGAGGTGTTACATGATGAAAGTCCTACATCGGCTAATTTAGGGAATGATCATAAGTTTATAAACAAAGAATACTCTCTCCATTGGTACAAGGCCTTTTGAGGAAACTCAAAGCAAAACCATGAGAGCTTATGCTCTAAGTGAACAATATCATACCATTGTGGAGGGTCGTGTTCGTCTAACATTTAAAACATGTCTCCTAAGGAGAGGGAGAGGTTTCTACACCCCTTATAAAGAATGTTTCGTTCTCAATTGATGTGAGATTTTGCAGTAACAATTCCCAAAAATAATTAGTTGTTTAAACTATATACAAACGGAAGGATACATAAACACTCGCTAACAAGCTCACTTAAGTGACATCTATAAGTGTCGAGTGTCATGGTTGTACATTTTTAACGGTAATGCACCGTTCTTTTTAGTTGTATCTGGCACTCGTCTAGGCCCTCGTGTGGTGCCACTGGAAGTATGACGTACTCTCTACTTATGACATCGAAGTTATTGATAATATTGAATGAGACCAGAACAGGAAAGAAAAAGATGAGGAGATGTTCATTATTACACTTTGTACACATTCATGCTTGCTCTCATTTAGCTTTGGAAGAGGTGAAGGTGGGAAGTCACTCCATTCCTCAAAGGGACCATTTCTACACTACTCCTTCCTCTTACAAGTTTCGATCGTCAGCTTTCATGTCATTATATCACCAACTTTCTTGACACGTCGTGACACGTCGAGATTTCAACAGTGCAAGAAAAACCCAGATAGAAGAACATTAGAAATCATTAACTCCACCATTTCTACACTACTCCTTCCTCTTACAAGTTTCGATCGTCAGCTTCCATGTCATCATATCACCAACTTCCTTAACGCATCGAGATTTCAACAATGCAAGAAAAACCCAGATAGAAGAACGTTAGAAATCACAAATTCTACAATAGTATTCCTTACTTTCCTTACTTCCCACTGTTCGACAATTAAGGATTTTATTAGAGCATGACTCTAATACTATGTTAGAAATCACGAACCTCCACAATAGTATGATAATTCCACTTTAAGTATAAACTTATTTTATAATTTAACCCGAGAAAAATTCAAACAATTTCATTTAGTAATTAAAATGTGAACTTTGAAAAGTATAGATTTAAGTTTTATAGATATTTCCCACCCACCAAATATTTGAAATGGTTGAAAAGTTGGGGACCCCACACAAGTTTAGTAGAAAATCTTCATGTCCAATTAATTAATTAATTAATTAAGAATGGTCCATACCATGCATCATCATCATCATCTAACTTTATATTATATTCCAAGGCACCATATTTGAACCATTAAAACCCCAAATTTATAACCAACATATTATAATCTCATTAGATTCTAACACATTATTTAAAAATAATAAAATTAAAAATCATATTATTTTACCTCATAATTAGGCAGCTGAATTTTTGAGGAACTACACATCACCTCTTAATACACTATTTAATTTTTTTTTTCCCTAAATAATGATTTGGAAATGGGACCCTGGTCGGTTTCACACTTTATTCTTTCTCTCCCTCTCTAATTATTATATTAACTAAACCATGTTTGGTGACATGGCATCCTCATGTTTGATGATGTGGCATTCTGTTTATGATCATCCAAGATTTTAACTTTTTTTTTTTTTTTTTAATTTCCAATTGTGTAATTTTATAATTAATTAAAATAAAATCGGGTTTATTGGAATTTCTTTTTTAAAAAATTCAAATATGGGAAGCAAAAAATAACCGTTTTCTTTTTTTTTTTCACGAGTCAAAGCACGCGCAAAGAGAAAGATTGGGAGGGAGGCGGCAGATCAATCACGTGAGGAATCACGTGCAATAGAACAGAAAAAAGCATAATGATGAAATAATAATAATAATAGTAATAAACCAACAAACAAATTATATGAATCAAACTTTACCTCTTGACGATAAACTCTCGTGACTTTATTTTGAACTTCTCAAAAGTCTTCATAAACTGATGATCATCCTCTGAGTTAGCAGATATGGAACTTTATTCAATAATAATTTCTTTTTCGATTATTTAATTGTTTAAAATAACACCTAGAATAGGTACAAATAGTCTTCACTTTAGATAAATAGCCTCGTTTTCAATATAATTGAGTGAATAATACAAATATATAGTCATCCGTTACCAAATCCAGATTCTAAATCTCGAGTTTTCCCAACATATTCTTTAATTCAAGAATAAAAAATTGTCCAAATAAACATGCAACCTAG